GATTGTGCAGAGGCTGCCCGTGCCACGAGCCCAGGCCTGAAGGAGGGAGGAAGGGCCTCACGTGTCCAGCCAGCCTCCCCTCTCGCTGTGTTTGGGGTGAAAACAAGCTGGTAACTATGACGACCTGGAACTGGGGCTCCCAGGAACTAGACTTCTTCTCCCTCCAGAGGGCAGCCCTGGCTTCTCAGCCGCTTCCTTTCCCTGCGTCCCGCAAGGCTTGCCCAGCCCTAGCCCGGCCGTGCGTGCAATGGAAACAAGGACTTCGGGAGGTCCCTCCGCGGGGTTCCCGGCCTTGCCTTGGTTAGCAGGGTGTCCTCACACACTGCTCAGGTGAGGTGAGGACGGAAGGTGCTCCTCGGTAGGCACAGCGTCCCGCGTGTCCTATCCTTCCCCTCTCCTGCCCTTATCCCGCCCGGGTGCCTCCGCCGTGCGCACCCCACCACCGCCCTGGGTGCCTCTCAGGGAAGTACCTGAGTGCTGCCATCTCAGACCAGGGGCTGTGGGGCGGACCACGCCGCACCTCTGCAGAGTGGCAGGGGACAGTGGTGGGACCCAGGCCTCAGACCTCTCCTGACTGAGGAGTTGATAGCAGTAGAGATTAAGAGACGTGAAGAGTGGGGCTTCTGGGAGAGGCGAAGGTGGCTCAGGCTCTGGCCACCCCCCACCCCCTCCTGGGCCCCTTCCTCTCACCTTTCCTCTTCCCTTCTTTCTCGACTTCTGTGCCCTTTACTCCACTATGCGTTGTCTCTCCCCCCTCTGTCCTGAGTTTGCTGTAGAGTGCATGTGCTCACCAGAGTCCAGGGGCAGCAGTGAGAAGTCACCTGCCAGAGGACGGCCATGCCACAGTCTTCTCCATTCTCCTCTTGGGGTTTTGGACACGTGTGCCTGGCATGTTCTTCAAGCTACCAGGTCTGAGGACTCAAACCCGCAGCCGGCCGTGTGGGACCCAGCTGCCTTACCCACCATGCCACCTGGCGGGCCCAGAGTTAGCACCGTCTCTTTTTGACCTTTATTCTGAGTTCTTTTTCTCTCCTGTCTCACTCTCTTCTTTATTTGTTTCCTGTTCTCGTGGTCTTCTGTGCTGGCCTCTCTTCTGTGTCACCCCCTATTTCCCTTCCGCCCTGCCGTCCACATTCCTTGCCCCTTTCCATTACTTCCTCTCGTCTCCCCCGCTCAGCCCGCTCCTCCTCCCCCCGACCCCCTCTGTCCTCACTTCCCCACTCTAGCCCTCTGTCCTCTTCCCAGCTGTGGGGGCCGGGACTGGGGCGCCTCACGTTTGCCTCATCGCTCTGCTATGGCTTCTGGATACAGCACATCTGGATTCCGGGGCCCAGATGTGTGGTTGCCACAGCGACCTCGTCCCTCTGGTAAATACAGGCGCCCACCCGCCCAAGAGCGGGGAACAAAACAATTGTGTGACTTTCTTTTGTCACGAGATAGAAATGTCCTCCCTCCTCCCTTCGCCCCACACCCGTGTCTCTGGGCGGAGGAAGTCGGCAGGGTCCGATCCCGTTCCATGCTGTCTTGCCCCCTCGGCCCTCGGCTGAGTTGCACCTGTCTTTATCTCGAGCTTTGTCCTTTCCGTCCACGGTCCCACCCTCGCCTTCTCCCCAGTTCTCCGTTACAGATTATTGTCCCCCCCCCGATCCTAGGCAGGTTCTCTGAACTGAATCTCTACAATAACTAGATGCAGAAAGGCCAGGCTCCCTACCGCTCCTACAAGTCCTTCGAGAAGTCACTTCTTTGGTTCCTGTCCTGTCTTCATTTTATTTTGCCAGAGGGCATGTGTGCTCTAGCGACAGA